GCTCGCCCTCGCCGATATAAAAAAGGGCTGAAACAGTGCACAAAACCGTTTCGCATGGCCGGAGAGAGACGGCTGGCGATTCTCTCTGCTCCTTTATACTTCTTGCAAACATGCAGCGCAGCAATTTCGCTCTGGTGCGGTGGAGATGCAGCCTGGCTTATTTCGCGGGATTGTGCACCCTGTTTGCCCTTCTTCCTAGCAAGGGTTTCCGCTCTTTTGTTGTTTCCCTTTATTCTCAGCGGCGTTAATCCGCGCAGAATGCACGCGGCGGCACCGAGCCAAATGAGCGGTGGGCTTTCTTTCTTTCGTCCTTTTTTTTTACGACGGCGCGAATTTCGCACGCTCGGATTTTGTTGTGTTATCTCCAGCAGGCGCGGCAACTTTTAATGGATTTTCGAGCCGAAAATGAGGCCTGCGTGCGAAACGAGGGTTGAACTCATTTTCTCAGTTACAGGGCTGCAGGCAAAAATAGTCGCGGCCGCCATGACCAGACATTCTTTTGAAGTTGACGAAAAGACTTTGAAACGACTTTGTGAAAGGTCTATTCTCGTGTGCTGATTAGACGCAGATGTGTCGAACGACGGCTTTAATTTGAAAGATTGCACATTCAGATTGAATCTGACGTCGGAATTAGAAACAAGGGGAGGCCCAGTGCACTTTTTGTGTGAAGAATTACTTTTTAAATAAATCCAAAAGGCCACAATGCGTTTAAGTCTAAATAAATTTGGCACATAAATCTGCTTGAATAAAATTTTTTTATCGATTTAATTAAAGAAGATTTCAATAAAAACTTGTTCAAGTTAATAAATTGAAATTATCCAAATGAAATATATGTGCAAAAAAATTCAAAATGGTTCTTGAGATTAATTGTTTCTGCGTTATTATTATTATTATTTTTTTTTTCAAAATTATTCAAAGCAAACTGGATGAACTGCTTATAACTGGATTTAATTTCACAATCTTAAACAATTTGCATACCATTTGTGGTTATGCTTGAAATAAATAGAAAATTTAAAATTTCTTCAAATTTCGATTGAATTTAAGTGTCTAAACAAATTTCATAACTGTTTCTCTACAATTTTGATCTAACTTTTAAATCTTCTGCCATTTGAATTATTGAAGATTGTTGAATGGAGCACCGGTGGAGAGTAAATAAAACATCTAAGGCTTCTTCTTCTTCAAAGAACACTCATCCCTTTCAAGAGAACTATTCAATTTCTCTCCGCAAACTGCATTAACAAAACCAAAGTTATCTCGTTCTTTATTCTTTCAACTTTCAAGAGCTCCGCAAAGAGCGCAAAATTCGCGAGCAAACTTTTCGCCGAATTGATGAAAACCAGCACCGTCGTTGTCGTCACTCGGAATCATCACTTTCGGTCTCGAGGGCTCTTTGCCGACGGCGGCACCAAACAACCCGCGGCAAAAGTGAATTCGGAAACTTTTGTATCACGTGCGCACGAAAACTGCTCCTTCTCCAAAACGGCAGCTTCGAAGTTTTGTGCGAACAAAAAAGACCAAAGAAAAGAAGAAGAAAAAGGCACGTGCGCACATATTTCCCAAATTCGGATGGGAAATTCAAAAAGAACAACTCCCACGGGAGAGAGAGCAGAATGAAAAAAAGGGAGATGCTCCGTCGGATCGATGAGGGCGCCATCATGACTCATGGCTGCACTACAACCACTCTCGGTACCGGCACCCCCATAAGAAATCCACCCCCGGGTCCCGTTACGTTTTGTTGTTATGAAAACATATCACCGCGCGATTGTGGGTCGCAAACAGTTGTCGGCACTTGCGACTGACGACTCTGACGGCCAAAGTGCCCAAGTCGGTCCCCTGGCGAGGGTTTTCGGCTCGCCGGGCCAACCGTTGTGTTGCTTCTCCCGAGGGAGTCCAATAAAATAATGGTCGGTCGCTGCAGCAGCCCTGCAAAGCGGGACCACCCCGAACAGACGGACACGCCACTTAATCCGATCTCTTTGTTTTGGTCCTGCCGCTTCTTTCTATCTGGGCCGCAAAGTGATCACGCCGATGCTTTTTCTGTGTCAAACTGCAGCCGAGAAAGAAATCCGAGACGCGGAGGAAATTTAATTTCCATGCTGATTTATTTGTGCTCACCGGATCTGATCTGAGTGGTGCGACGGAAAATTGGAATGGATGTGTTCAAAGGTGGGATTGTTTGGGGTTAGATTGATGGTTTTTGCCTTACAATAAATCTAGGTTCGGTTTTTAAGGCAATTAACATCTTGATCCAGCAGAAAAAGGAAACCAATAAAACTAAATCTTCAGGAAAAAACCTAGAAAAATTGTGTTCTTCAAGAGTTTGACAATAAGCAAATAATAAATTCCAGCAAAACTCAATTGCTAGAGGTGCTTGAATTATTTAACTTCATTTTAATAATTAATTTTTAATGAAAAATATTATATAACTATATATTTAAGCATTTTAACAAACACAATTGTAACTGAATTTTTTCAAGTATAAACAAAGTTTTAAAAAAGCAAATTGAGAATTTTTTATCATATTTTTACCACCATTTAAGAATTGCGTAGATTAAAGTTGATGTAAACAAACTTTGAATCAAATCAAATAATGAACTAATTAATTAATTAATTAGTTTACTTATGGGAATTATGGCATCAAACAAAATAATAATCACAAATATTTAAAAAAAAAAAAGAATATTACCATGGAAAATAAAATGTGAAAATTCCCCCCTGGTAGTGGCGGTTTTATTCAAAACTTCAAACATTTATAGTCGCTTTCATCAAAATTCATATTTTACAACATTGATTTCTGCCTCTAAAAATTACAATGGTTTGTTGAAGAGCTTTTGATATTTTCGCCTGCTTTCCATTCCGCGAATAAACTCCAATTAAAAGTTATCCGTCGCTCTTTAGGCCACTCAATCCGTCGCTTTTCGGCCCAAAATGAAACACGAGCGCGTCACTCACGTTGTAAAAACAAACCCAACTGGAAAAATGGCTCGGCACGAAATCGCTTTCCGAAAAAAAAATCACATATATTCGCCGCTTTTCAACAGCTAGGGCGGCGAGCGAGGCGTGAAAAAGCCTCTCTCCGCTGTTTTTCGCCGAACTTTTTCGCGAGCCAAAAGCGAGGCAATAAAGCAGCGCCGGCGACCGCAGCTCGTTATCCGTGCGCGCTATTTTTAATGGAGAGTGCTCTTAATTAAAAATGCAACCCGATCCGCTGGATGCATGTGTGGCCGTCGCGGAAGGCGAGAAGCCGAACAACCGCCGTCGTTGTGCGTGCAAGCGGTGGATAAAAAAATATAAAACACACCCCATTATCCGCTCGTGTTGCAATTAACCATCGGAGAATTATGAAATGTTGAGCCATTGTCCATTCACGAGGCGCCACTGTGTGTTTGTGCTCAACAAGCCTTGTAATGAAATGCTGATTAACCGCCGTTTACAATGCTTGTCCAGTGGAACGCAATTTGCCTTCTGTGCCGCAACAATTCAGCACGGCTCCCAAAAGGGTTTGAATTTTTTTTCTTTCATTTCCTAGATAATTTGATAATGCGCCACAGTGGTCTATTAACTCAATTAAGAAACGCTTTGCTCAATAAAATGGCCATAAATTTTACAATTGTGGGACTGTCGCAGGAAAATTATGACTTCCATAAAAAATTTTTTTTTACATTTTCAACTGAGTCGTCAAACAAAGATAACAAATCAAAATGACAAAATAAAATTTCTTTTTAGTTTAACCAATATTAATTTTCACTTTTTTAGGCTAATTGTCAGAAAAGTAATTAAAATCAAATCCCTTATAAATATAGGATTATAATAGTGCTAATTTTTGGAAGATTAAATTAAATTCACTCTCTTTCTCTACAGTTAAAAGTAGACCCAATTAAAAGCACAATAAAGTTGTATCCAAATCATCAAGGAGTAGCCAAGTTTCAATTCAACTAACAAGAATTTCTAATCAACTGTGAACTTTTTCAACTAAATTTCAATAATTTAACATGCAATATGTTTCATGAAAAATTGAATTTCAATGAGTCTTTTTTAATTTTTTTGCTAGTCATAATTTCTATGCTAAAAATTACAGATCAATATTTAAAATTTAAATTTAAAAAAAAAATTCTTGAATACAAAAAATTTAGTTTGTATTTTTTTAAAAGTATAAATAATTTACTCTGTATTTGGCCTAAATTTTTATTCATTTTATCACTTTGTAATTAATAAGAAAACCTGAAACTATGTTAAAGCTACGATATCGAGTTTTTTTTTTTAAATTACAGGATAAGTTATCCTCAAGTTTAATTTAAGAAGCTAGCTTGTGATGTCATTATCAAGCTCAGCCAGCACAAGAATTGACAAATCGAACATGTTAAATTCTTGAGAGAAGTGATAGCAGATGATAGTTTTTTTCACGAGCTAATGAACTGGTGTTATCCTTATCAGTTCAATAATAATAATAATTAGTTCTCATACAGCATCAATAAAATAATTATATGAAATAGGGCGTTGGTGTTTGAACGCGGTCCGTCTAAACAAAGCTCAACGCAGAGTTTGATTTTTTTTAATAAATTAATTAGAAATGTCGTTGAATAATCTATCTGATTTAGATCAAATAATTATAAAATATATATAATAAATCAAGCATCAATCATTTTCGAGTCCAGGTGCAGAGGGTCAAATAAATATAATAAAATAAAAGTGAACTCTCAATTTTAGTGAATGAAAGCCGCAAACTGCAGCATCACCTGTCCTCTTTTCCGAAGGGAGGGCAGCCTCATCGAATTGAATCATAATTCACTTCTTCATTACAATGCATGAACGGTACGTAGTGTCCGCACGAGCAAACGTAATGCGAAATGTTATACGAGGGGAATAGAAAAAAAGACAGGTGTGCTTCGGAGAGGCAGGCGCCGCTGTTTACCAACAAAATTTCGCCCCTTCGCGATTCGAACGCAGCCGAAAAGAGGAAATATTTTGCGAACGCCGCATTCGGCGGCCGAAAGACTGACCTGCCGACGAAGTGGAGGAGCAAAAGCAGGCTGACAGCAGCAGCAGCACCGAGACGGCGGACAGCAGCAGGGTCGGCCGACGAAGGTGCAGCGACGCCTCAGGGCCCATGGTTTCCGCAGAGACGATTTCTTCACAGCAGTCGGCGCCAGACGCGCATTTTGGACAGTCCGGCCTCGAACAACAGTCTGCCTAGCGCCGCCGTCCGACCCTAGCGTCTCATAATTCGGACGAAAACACAAAACACGGAGAGCGAATGGGACCGACGGCTACACCAACCAACGAGAGCGGCGCTCGTAAAGTGTTGTCCGTCGAGTGCGCGTGCGCCCTGCTTTCTCTTCAAATCTGCACAAAAATTTTTACGAAATCCTGAAGGAGAGGATGCTAACGCGCTCTGTTAACCGCTATGTAAACTAAAAGGGTTGCCGCGAAGGCGGGGAACACGACAGCGCAAAAATTAATTTTATAAATTTAATGTCCAATGTTACTTTGAATTCGCTTGTTGCAAGACAAGTAGTGCAATAATAGCAAATTAAATATTAATCTGATATTAACAATGTGGTTTAATGGCTTTTGCGCGAGTGCAATTTTTTTGTATAAAAATTAAGTATTCAATTTTTTAAATTCATTATTTATATTATTAAAACTATTAATTTTTTATTTTTCTGGTATAAGAAATTAAGTGATTAAAATTTTGAATTACCTAAATGTCTTTTTTCCTCTTAACACTGATATATAGCGATAAAAATTTTGGATGCCCTGAAGTTTAACTATATTTTGTCTTCAGACAACATTTCAAAAATTCTTTTACAATTACTGCTCTTCTGAAATATTCTTAGCAAGGTTTTACTAAAATTTGTCTTCGTTTTTGAGAAAATATTAAATTTAAAAGCTGCTGATTACTTTTAATTAGTGCGCAAAATATATAAGAAAAGTCATTAAGACAAAGTATTATTATAAATCACAAAAATTAATTTATAATTTTAAAATTTCTATTACACACACAACAATAAACAATATGGTGGTCTGGTGTTCGGTGATTTTGTTACTGTTTCTTTAAAAATGCAGGGTTCCAAGTTGAAAAAGTATAATTGGTTTCTAATTTTATTTTGTGATGAGTATTATAAATGGTTTTATTTTGAAGAAACATTTGAGATAACCACTGAAATACTTAATTTACAAACTTGAGTATATTTTTATCGCTTCCCAAATATTGTTATGAAAATTCAAAAAAAAAAAAAAAAAAAGTGGAAGATCTGCTTGACTGGTATTTTTGCTTCAGCAACTACAGATCCAAGCAATCAATTTTCTGCTCTGATAAATCTTCTTCTTTTCCCTCAACCATATCATCTTCTTCATCCCGCGATGCATCACTGTCATCGCTAATATCATCAAATTCATTTTCTTCTTCTTCTTCCTCTTCCTCGTAATCAGTGTTCATAACTTCATTTTCTGAATGAATTCCTGAACACACACTACTGTTGTCGTCCCCAAAATCTTCATCAAAATCATCAAACCTCTGCGGGATGTCATAATATTTCCACAACATCTTGACTCCAACTGCAGTTGTCAGATGCTTGAACCAAGAGTTACGTCGGCATATCACCTCCGCAGAAAGTTCATATTTATCACTGAGAGTGCGAAATTTGACCAATTCAAAACTTGGACAATGGTAAATTAAGCCCGCAACAATCTAGAATGACAAATTTTTTGTTATATATTCAGCCTTAATAAGGTTTTTTTTTGTTCTCACCTTCAGTGCAGGCTTGATTGTGTCTACACTGTAAAGGTCAAGGCTGACCTCGATCAACTTTTTGATGGCGTGGCTGTTTGGTTTTATCGTCAAAACTTCTTCAAGCACATTAATTTGCCCTGGTGTCTTGAGATGAAGGCGGACTTGCTCAGATTTTTCTGAACCAAGAAGAAACATTTTAAATATTCTATCCGCCTCCGAGTTATGAGCCAAGTACATCCCTTCAGCATGATATGTGTCGTCAGTGACATCGTATCTGTAGTTAAGAAAAATACAAAATAAATTTGATTGTCAAACGTCAAAGCCAAAAATGTCTGCTTGCCTCTTCCAATTCTTAAATTTTGCAAAAGGAATATCAACTTCCTCAAATTCATCAGCTGTCGAAGTATAAGTGAGCACTTGCAAATTTGGGCTTTTTTCAATGGCATATAATCCAAGTGGGGCTGGCGGATAAGATTCAGCCCTTCCCAAAGCTTTGATGGTTAATTCTCTTAAATGTGGTCCAAATTTTTCAACAATCGGGTGGACCAAGTTTGGCACTGCATGCACGATAAGCTTCGATGGTGGGAAAGGCATGGCGATCAGTTTTTCCACACTCGACGGACAATCAGACTTAGTCTCTATATGCAGTTTTTGAGCAATAATGTTTGCAGGCCACTCAATTTTAAATGGCAGGTGGATGCTTAAAGTGAAATGATTAGAGTTATTAATTATTTATGGTGCCTTTAATGCAGAATTTTTCTTACCACAAAGCAGTGAGGATGAGTTTTTTGTTTGGGTAATGCTCTGCATACAATTCAAGGAACCGATTGCCTGAATTTTGTATTTCTTCAATAAGAGCAAAAGTTTTGAGGTTTGGAATTTTTCCAACACAGTGAACAACAGTTTCCAAAGAAATGCGGCATCCCTCAATACGTAGCTCAAGGTGTGTCAGACTCAGCATTTTAGAAAAAGGCTCAATAGCTTTTTCAGTAAAGGATTTTTCCTTGACAGAAATTTCCATGCCCCTAAAATAGATCAATATAATATTAAAACAAAACAAAAAAGCCTTTCCTGATTTATACTGAAGCTGAGGGATGCTCTCTTGAATTTTTTTGAGCTGCTCATCGGTGCAAGTGTAGTTCCGGAAGCCCATGTACGTCAGCTTGCTCCATCTGAGGAGCTCCTTCGTCTTTATTACCATTGGTCCGCGGAAATTTTCATGGCCTCGGACAATTTTCTTCAAATTACAGCAATGGCGCTTCATGTAATAGAAAAATCCCTGCTCCCAATCTGGGGGTACCAAAGTATCCTCGTTGAAATCAAACTCCATTAAGTTTTCATTAAGGAACATCCATAGAAATTCCCTGCAGATTGGGGTTGGTTGGTTGCTCCCATTGCCGAAGAATTGTCTGCCATTTTTGAAGAAATCTTGGATGATCGAATTGGCTGCAAATTAAAAATTTATTATTTCCCAATAAGTTTTCTTTTTAGTTTGGTGATTTGCATAAATTTTATAAAAATCAGGTCCTTACGCAATACATTCATCGGATTGAAATCTTGTTGCCATTGTTTTAAGAAATATTCGTGGTTGAAAACTATGGACTTCATTGCCAGATTTCGTAATGACATTGACCTGTTGGCTTCAGTGAACCTCTTTGCTTTGATTTCATCAACGATTAAATTCATTTCTACATCTCCTGGCCTATTAAAAAGAAGTTTAATTCCATTTTATTTGTATTTCAAAATTTCAACATATAATTATAGTTTTAACTATAAACCGTTTAAAAGCCAGCCTGCCAGGCGGCTGCTTTTAACGATGTGCTTGGATTATTCAATTATGTACATAAATAAAACACAATGCATAGTTACCTCATCGCTGCCAAATTATTGTCCATCTTTCTTGATCTGAGGATATTTTCATACAAACTCGTGTAAAAAATTTCCTCACAGATTCAAAAGCGCAAAAATCCAAAGCATCCACTCTCCAAACCAAAATTGTGGGCCCAAAAATGGAAGCGAACCTAGAATATTATATTTATTTTACATAATTGGAATAAATTAGTTTTGATTTTTGTCGTTTAAAATGAAGGAATATAATTAAAAAAGAATTTAAAATTACTAAGAGAAAGAGAATTCTCTTTCTCACAAGAAATATAATATTACTTAACTCTTTAGAGTCAAGATACGTATGTATGGGTACCTTAAAGTTTCAACACTGGCCGGGTTGCGCTAAAATTTGGTCGAAAAGTAGGCAAAAATCCAAATCCGGCACACAAACTCAACCATGTGCAGTGCTTGCAACTCTAATTGAGAGTCATTCGAGATTCGAGTCACGACGCTCTTCTGCCTCTGCCTCTTCTTTTGCAGCCTTCAAGTTTCAAGGGAAGGGAAATGAATTGTTCTTGTTGTGTTTACTGCTGTGTTTCCTGTCCCAAAAGAGAAAGTTGCCCACGGCCCAGCCCTCCCCCGGCTCCCAATAAACCCACCCCCTCGTCTTTAGTGTGCCTGTTTTCGTGGCCTTCATCTCCTCCAGTCAGTGATCTCTCTAGCTTCATCACCTTCGCGCTCAACGCGCTGATTACAAACTTTAAAATGCACATGCACTCCCCTCTACCAACAAAATCTTCAAACTAACAAGCCAAAAACATTTATACCAATTTACCAAAAATAACATGATTCTATTTAGAATCCACAAAATTATCATCATGTGATAAAAATTCAATCAATCTTAATTTTTCATGCAGCCAAATTTTATTCAAGCTGAAATTTGCACATTTTCTATTTTCTTCTTATTGTCAGTGCAAACTGCAAAACGTTTAGTATTTTTTCATGTTGGCTCTCCCTAGGCAATCATGGCGCACATGTAAAATATCAACAAACAAAAAAAATTAAAAAGCATAAAAGGAAAAAGAAAACGCATCTTGATTGTGCTGTTTGCGAATTTACTGTTAATATTTTAATCTTGCTGGAATTTTATCTGGAAATTGGAACTTATCGCTCAAGTAATAAGTAAGTTAAATTTTCGGACTGTAAGTTATGCGGATCAGAAGCGCCAAAAGTATTGAAATGGCAGAGAATTCGGATTACTATAAAATAATAATGGCGTATACATGCAGCAGTGTCGTGTGATTCCAGCAATTTAATCGATCATTCTAATTTCTGATCAAATCTAGATCCTGGAAAGGATAAAAAGTAATTATAAGTAATAAAATTCTACCAAACGCTTTTATAATTAATGCAAGAATTGAACAATTTTTTAGATAAAACATGCAGCCAGCCGCGACGAGGGAACGAATTTTCTCCAGCATGCTCCTCTCTCAAAAGGAAGACCTAAAAATCGCCTACGAGCGTCGAGAGAAGATGAAACAGGAGCTGGTAGACTACACCGAGCTGAAGCACACAGTCGAGTTGATGATTGACAACAAAGACATCAAGGAGAATGGACTGCAAACCTCGGTGAACCTGGGCTGTGATTTCTACGTGGACGCCGTTGTGAAGAAGCCGGACAGAATTCTCGTCAGCCTAGGCCTTGACCTTTTCATGGAATACACTCTGAGTGACGCTCTGATGGTGGTTAACGCCAAACTGAAGGTGCTCGAGCACCAGATCGAGTACATGACAAGTCAAATTGCTCAAATCGAAAGTCACATCACACTCGCCACAATGACTTTGGGCCAGGACGACGCTCACTTTTATCCATCAGACATTGAACACTTGAGTGCGGAAAGTTTGGCTCCTAAGCTGTCTGTAGTTGAAGTCATTCAAAAAGACTTGTTAAACCGATTAAAGTGATCTCTAAATTATAATTTAAATTGTAAATTTTTCTGAATAAAATATCCTGATGTTAATGGAAATATTTTATTTCTGGACATTTTATCTTAAATTTTTTTTTTTTTCTTGAAAAACTATAAAGCTCGATCATTGAGATAATTCTTTGAAAATATAAATTTTATTTTGCCTGTGCAGGAGCTGTTGGACAAAATTACGGAATTATGGCCAGGTCTGTCTTTGGGTGGCTCATCCTCACAATTTTTCTCCCGAGTCTTATTCTGGCAAAAAGAAATTCCTGCCACAAAACAGCAACAATTCACAGATGGGTGTCTGAAAATGGCTTTCACAGGTGAATAAAAAAAAATATAATTATCCATTATTATTGAATTAAATTTTTTTCATTCAGATCTCTTCACACCAGTGTCCACATTCCGTGGAATTTGACGGGGTGTCTCATCTTGCTGGAGGAAAAGTTTCCGTCGGGAGCTTTTGTAGATCCAGACGCGGTTGCCAGGGACAAGCAGAACGGGATCAACTGTTTATTGGCGCCCATTGACATCGAAGCTTTTGAAGCTAAAAGCCAACCGTTTCGGGTCTATAGTTACAGCTTACCTGTAATTTCTGGTCAAACAGGTTTGTATCAAAGACAGCAAATTATTTGAATCACCAGTTTAATTTTGTTTTATAGAGGTTCGAATGAATCTGCCCTTCCACTTGCGGTACCACGAAGCAGGCCCTAAGGACAAGGAAGTGGTGCTCGTTCAGCCATCCCTTTTGGCCTCCTGTCCATACCAGCCTGGAGAGGCTGTGCAAAACTGCCCTGGATGGTCAGAGGGTCCTGCACCCTGCGTGTACTGTAGTCGGGAGCTTTGCGACTGGACTCACCTTCCTTACTCTTCGGTAGGCTGTGTTGTCTAATTGAATTGCTAAATATTAAATTAAAAAATTTCAGAATGAGCTGGAAGTGAGTCTGAACGTTCCAGTGGGAAATTCCGACCATGGTGGTATTGTAATGGTAGTCACTGCTTTCACAATGATCCTCGCAACAATTTATCTTTTGTTCACCATTCAAAAAAGTGCCAAAAAGAATAGATAAAGAAAAAATCTAGTCGATGAAATTTGGTTTTATTTAAAATAACTAAACACTTGGATAAAAATAGCAGAGTTAAAGAAACATTTTATTTCTTATCACGGCTGAAAGCACAAATCTTGGTAACGGAATTATATAGCGTACATATTAAATTTATCACAATGAAATTGCTGCTCACCTGCTGCTTACTGGCCTTGCTGCTGCCAGTACGTGGTTTCGAGGAGTTTCAAGTTTTCCTCTAAAGAAAAGACTTCGTCCAGTCTCCCTGCTTCCTTGGCCTGCTTGATGTAGCCCCTGACCAGGTTAATTTGCTGGACGATGGGGTCATCCGACTCGACCACTGCACTGCTGCTTGTGTAAGTGCCCCAGCCTGCCCCCTGCATCACGTGGGCCGACTTCGGACCTCCGGATTGGTTCATTCTGCTTGAAATGCCACTGCGGACACGGCTCCTCAGGTCCTTAAGTTCCATCTCAGACGGCAGCGTTGGCAAACCCATTAGATTGTCCCGAATAAAGTTCGAGGCTGATGCCCTGACCGACTGCTGGAGGCGCAGAGTCCGTCCGCGAGGGGCGCTTTCCTCATTTGATTTGGTACCCAGGATCAAAATGGACTTGCTTGTGTGTTCGATCTGCTCGGCCAGCTGCACCAACTTGAGCCGAGTCATCTGAGCATCTCGCAAGTCGTACATGGACTCGCCCGAACAGAGGGAGGAATGCATTTTGTTGTATTCGGCAAGGAGAACGGAAGCATCTGCTTGAAGGTGCTAAAAATTTTAATAAATTTTAGATTTTGAAAAATATTAATTACTAAAATATGTGCAAATTTAAAATGCATACAATGATAAATAGTAAAATTGTGCATTTTTTTTTTTTTTTTACTTTTACTTTCATTTGAATGATATAATTACTTATTTCTATTTATTATACACACCTGAAGTTTGTCGTAGAATTGACAAATAATTGGTCTTGCAGTCTTGCTTGCCACTTTCTGTGTCCGGTGCTCCAGTCTTTCGTAACAGGGCATGCAGACCCTGAAGTCAGGAAGGCTCGCCTGTTGCATCGACTCCTCGGAGAGCTTTTTGTTTGACAATTTGAGTGCGTCCGCAATTGGTAAATATTGAGAGCAGGCGTTGCAAGTGATGGCTCCGCACAATCGGCAGTGGTGCTTCCGCCTGGTCAGGTTGAAAGACGAACCGCAACTCGGACACAAGTTGACCAACGAGTCATCCATCCAAGAAACAACTGCTTGCTCATGAGTTTTTCTCTATACAATATATTTTTTTTTAATAAATTACATAATTATGGACGATGAAAAAAATTTTGATTTAATGACATACTTTGACAGGATCGCTGGAAAGGCCATTCATCAATTTCTCCAGACGGATGACCAATTTGTTTATGTCGGTGTTGTAACTGTCCATTTTTTCGCTTCTCATTTCTCTGAATTTAGTGGTCAGTGACCTGGTGATGCCAACCTGCACCTCTGGAGGCCTGATCGACGCTCCTGCGACGTCTTCGTATTCATCGTCATACTCGTACATAGCTTTTGATAATGAAAATTATTTAGCTTTGAAAATTTCCAGCCAACTCTGTTATGTACATAATTTGTTGGCAACAATTTCTAATAAAAATTACATTAATTGCTGACAGGAATTTCTATAATTACAGAACTTACCGCTCAGATGTTATTCATTTAAAGTTGTGGTGCGAAATTTCAATTTTGTACAGGCCGAATTAACTCTTGGCTCGGCTGTAGAAAACAACTCTCAGAGATTGATTGATTTTCTGAAAAATCTTTTGGGGATACGCCCATGTAAATGTGGGCGTGGCACAAACTCAAACCCAAAATGATGCTGGCGCCAAATAGGCATGGCCCTTATACATTGCACTGTATATTTAGCGTATTAAGCATCAATATTTACCTAACGATTTTTGAAATTTCTAATGTCCTATTATTTTTCTCTTTCAATTTTTGAAAACAAAAAATTCATTGATAAAAATTTTCATCCTTATACGTACACTGCAGTCGTTTGGATGAATTATTATAATAGGATGTGATGGGGTAACTAAATAAAAAATCAGACGTCAATTTTACTTCCAAAATAGGATTTATTATTATGTGCTGCCCTTAGTACATTAATCCGTTTATCACTTAAAATAAACACCACAGTAATTTTGGTACAAAGATAAAATATCCTCTCGCCATAAAATTACACTCGTGTGGTTGTTCATCTTCATCATCGTAATCAATAATTTAAAATTTTTCCTCTCAGACTACAATTTAATTAATTATATATAAACTCTCTGTCTCAAAGTCTGCACACGACTACAGAAACTGGATTTTTATGTTATCTCTTGTATGTAATTGATTTTTACCATTTTCCATCATATTCTCTCATCTCAACAAATTTTATATTACAGAAAAAAAACAGACAGTATGGAGAAACACCTCTCGTGATTCTCGTTTGCATAATAACATAAACTCAAGGAGCACAAAATTCAAATTCATAAATTATAATTTAGCGCGACAAGAAAAACAAAATCATCTGTTACACTTTTGCCACATTTTGACGAGCAATTATTTTTTTGGGTGTAGAGATCATTGTTTGTTTGATAGTCAGAAACGATTATTTATTTATTTTTTAAAGCAGGACCCGAGCTTTTCCACCTGCTTTTTTCTTTCCTTCTTGTGTTAATCCAGGAAACATAATACACAACAAACACATCATTATTTGCACTTTTTGTCAACAAAATTGCTGCCCAATCAAACAGTTTTGCCTCTTGTCCGGAACCATTCAATTTTTCTTCTCATTATAAATAATTTTGATTTGGGAGTCATTTACGGAAATTTATTAGACTTTTTCGACATTGAACAACTTTTTCACAAAAATGATCAACCGACATAAACAATTAAATTCCTCACTCTAGATACGCTCAGCTTGACGGGTAACAATAATTCATATAATATTTACGACGTTCAGAGACAAAAAAAAATACACACAAAATCATATGATGTATTAAAAAAAAAATTATGTAGCGTTCCTGAGATTTTCATGACCAGCAGTTTAATGACAAAAACAAATAACCAAGGAACATATCCATGTTTACCGACCGCGTAATGTGTTAATTACTCAAATTGATCTTGACCGAGTGACAGCTCACAAAAAAACAGATAAATTGTACATCAAGGTCCCTTTTTCAATGTGATATTATAGAAAAAACTGAATGCAGAGTTGCATGTGAAATTTATGTAATGAACATGGGAAAATCCTCTCTTTGGCTTTTGTGTGTTTCTAAATATCGCCTCTGAATACATTATCCGATGAAAAGTGCAAATTCAGTTTGATTCTCATCTCAGCGTTTTTGGCAACCGTAGATTAACTGCGGGAAAGCAGTGTTCGTTCCCCACATATTGTTTTCATGCATGGTAACTTTTCCTTAATCGTCTTTCTTTAGAATAGAAAATAATTAAGTTCTTTGGGGACTATTTGGAGAACCACATTATGGTGATAAAGAAGCAACATAAAGTACAACAAATATATTGATTTTAAGGTACAGTCAGTCATAAAAATCAACACGCACAAGAATTTGCTGCGAATTAAAATCAGTGTCGACTTTTTGCTGTTTGATATTTGTATTCATGTTTAGAAATGGTTGTTTTTCTCTTTTCGCATAATTACATATTCTCAACCCAGTGCGTGACTATTTACGTTCCGTTTTTTAATAATTATATACGTTCTATGTTCTATATGTTTCAAAGAAATTATTAATTAATTAATCAATTACATGACTCGATTTTAAGTACATAATAGTGTAATAATAAATTCATTTTTCACAACAATAAAGGCACACACAAAACATCGTCTGCTGATTTGCTCCATTTTGTTACATGGCAATTAAACAAATTAACACATCTCATTTAAATGATTTTTCCTCTACTACACATCTACCAAACAGAAATCCATCATCTTTTTCATATTTATGTATAACAAAAGAAAAAAATAGAGAAAAAGGACACATATACTTTACTGCGTGCCGAATGCAAGAAACTAAATCAAAGAGAAAGAAAAAAACACCAAACAAAATCAAAAAAAGGGGAGAAACCATCGTAAAAGTAAGAGTAACATTAAATCCACTTAATTCACGACCTGGGAATTTTTTTCATATCAAATCCATCAAATTTTCTAAAGCAAGACCGGGCGAAGTGTGTTTGATTTTACACAGACTTCGCCGGCTTTATGTGTCAAGGGAGTAATAATAATTTTCTGTAAAAATATGTATAAATCTGCTGCACTATTGATCTTTGACATTTAAATTTTATCTGCGTGATATGACGATATAGCTGTATTATTTTTACTTTGTTTTCTCGGTATAATATAGAAATCTTTCGTTTCAGCTTCACGTACCGCTTCAACACTGTGATTTTTGTTATTTTTCGACACCAACCAGCAACAATAAAAAAGTGTAAATATCCACCAATCAACGAGTACAATTGATTCATACAACGTATAGTATTAATCAATAATGCGAGACAGGTCGAGCGTTACTATTATTTTTTTTTCTGTTTCTTTTTGTCTGAATCCAGAGTGAATGAGTGAGTGTAGTAGCAACAGAGAAATTTTCTTCGCACGTACAACAACATGACACCTAAGACGTTGACACATCAGGCAGAGGAGGGACGGCGGTCAAAAGGTCAACACTCAACCAACAAATTGTTGTGGCAGTCTCAGAACCTACATCTAGGAAACAGAAAGCAAACAACAAGTCAAAAATAAAGGTAAATTAATCCGTCCACACACTTAAGTATTATTCAATTTATATATAATATATTAATTAAGAAAAGAGAGACAAGCCTCGTGTTTCGTATAGAGAAATTTGATACGTGGCGACACTCAACACCGTTTCCTTTATTGTTAAATTTTTAGTTGAATATTATTTTCTGTTTTAAATTAACGGTTACTTGAGCATTTTAGTGTTTACTATTCTCCCACTTTTTAAGATTTTTATAGACACAAACACTGAACAGCTCAATTATTTATTTCTAGTAACACAGATCATCCTGTTTTGTGGCAGACCCTGTGTCATCCATTTATTTTATTTTTAGCTCTAACAGTGGGTGGCAGTCTTGTGACATCCTAACCGTTTTGGAAAATCAAGAAAAATACCTTAAATCATGTTTTAGCCAAAAATTTCCAACTACAAATTAAAAACTACATAGTTACAATACAAAGCATTACTTTGGCCCCTTGCAATTCAGACATTGGTTAATCAGCGACAAAAACAAGTTATTGAGTCATTCGAAAATATAATAAACCCAACAGTGGAATAAATGTTTCCACTTTTCAAAACAGTTGAGCAATTGATTTAAGTATTGGTTTATGAGAAGAACTAACGTACGAGACATGAAACGTATTTTTGGTTAGGTTTGCACAAGAACTTCCCCACCGAGAGAAAGAGAGAGAGCCCAAGGCACATTTAGAAAATATGTAAAGAAACACCGAGATATTATTGTGGCAGGGTGCAAAAAACCACTCATTTGACACAGATATGTACACTGACTGATATTTAATCTCAATATATTAAGTGATCACTGGAAAATCGGGTGCGCGAAATAATCAGAGTGTGGTAAGGAGTGCACACTGTTTTTCGCAAGGAAATAAAAAAAAAGTGTGACATGTGTCCGCGCAAAACACAAACTTTTGTTTTAAATGCAATTAATAAATGACTAGAGAGTGACTAGCAAGTTTCTTGTTCCTAAAGAGAGAGTGACACACTGAACAGTAATTGGACACCGAGATATTTTTGCTTTTAATATATCGACCACGAAAAACAATCAATTCAAGACAACGAGGACTGCATCTCCTCGGCTAGCAGGGCAGGAATGGCTGAATGGGTGAGAGGGTGGCGGAGCCGCTGAAAACGGCGGCGCACCAACCACCGCTCTCAAAATCGAAAATTCAACCGAAAGCAGCGCCATCATAATAAAAAAAATCTATCATCATTCTTGTGCACATAGGCAAATTTACAAATCGGCATTTTATCAATTTTTAAAGACTCTTTTCTAATAATGTCGCGTTCTCTCTCGCTCTTCAAAATCATCACTTATTAGGCCTGTTAGGATGCCATGGCATGAGTTTGTATTGTCGCACGTCTCTTTGGTCTTTCTTGGCGCCTCTCCGCACATACTTACTCTTTAGTACGGCTTTGAGGCGTCTTTGGATCGCTTGAGCTGCACCTTGAGGCGCTTGGTTCCGATCTGGAAACCGTTCATCGCCTGAATGGCAGCCTGGGCACTCACAGGGTTGTCGTATGATACAAAGCCTGCAGACAAAAATTAAAGAAATCTTTAGTTCAAATTAATAAAAATATACACTTTAATAAACTAATTTACATAGAGGTTTTCAAATTTATATTTTAAATGAGGACGAAAAAAGGTGGGGATTGAAAAATTCATCATTTCAAGATTTAAATAATAATAATAATTGACAATTTAAATAATTTATCATCAATAAAAGTCGACAATTCATAAAAAATTTGCATAGAAAAAAAACATATATTTTATTATATTTACGTTTAAAAACACTGAAGTACGTAAACTTGAACTTATTCTTTATATATATAAAATAAAAAGTTGTATTTTAAATATCAAATAACGTCAAAATTAAACACAGTAATTTATTATTAAACTTTAAATTAATTAATTAATTATTTTTAAAATTAAAAAAAAATATTATTATGCAATAAATAAATTATAAAAAGATGAAAAAAAGATAAATTATTAAATTTATTTTTGATAAAATTTAACAAAAATTTTTGATTTAAATTAGCAACTAAAATGTTACATTTTTATTTCTTTTGATCATTTAAATGGTTTTTTCTCATTCAAAATACACAAGTTTATGCAAACTGAAAATTATAAAAATTAAAATTTTGTACTTACCAAAGCACTTGGAGAGGTTTGTTTGCTTGTCGATGAATACTTTAGCGGAAAGCACCTGGCCAAATGGGAGGAACGTTTGCGCCAGGTCAGTGTCACCGAACTCTTGCGGCAGGTGGTAGATGAACAGGTTGGCACCTTCGGGACCTTCAGTTTGCTTTCCTGAATTGACTGCTGCCGCCGCCGCAGCCGCCGTGGCCGTGGTTATGGAGTTTGAACTAAAACCGGGGAACCCTGAGGGGGAGAATGAAAAATTCAAAGAGGTTCCCTGAATTCCGTAACTTGCATACCTGTGTACTGTTGTATGCTAGAATAGGAAAGGGGGTCTAGGCTGGAGCCGTTGGTGGCCGCCGAGCCGAGGCCGTTGAGGCTGGTGAGGGTGGTCCCTGAAAGGGCGCCCAGCCCCATGGAGGTGACCGGACTGACTGCACTGAATGAGTTGGTCGCGCTCGACGTTTGCGGCGCTATCGACCCTGCAGACGCGCCAGAGGAATAAAAAAATAGTTAATAATCTTTCGTCAAATCTCCGCCGGGGTTGAAAATAAATAAATAGGCAATTAAATTAACAACCAAATTAATATCTACTTGGTGGCTGGAAAAAAAATAACATAGCGGAGGAGGATGTTCTATGGAATTTATTATTATATGACCTCATGCCAAAAAAACCAATTAAGTAAAAAAATTAATTGAGTAATAATTCGGTGAGCGTTGGGAGAGAGCGTAAAAAAGTATGGTGGAGAAACACACGCCGAAAGAGAAGGCCAGCTACACACGGACACAAAAAGAATGGAGCTAGAGAGTGAGAGACGCGCACACACTTTAATATTGCACAAACGCAGCACGAGTATATAATATAGGAGAGGGAGAGAAAGGAGTGAGTGCGAAAAGAGAAAAATATACATACACACAAACACGCAGAGTGCAGAAAAGAGAGAGAATGGAGCAAAAGTCGAAATAATGTATAGAGTAGATTCGCGAACAGTGGAGAAGCGAAAAAAAAATATAGACGCAAAATTTAAGAGTTAGAGAGAGAGAAAGTGGGATTGCAGAGAGAAAGAAGAGGAGGGCAAAAGAAATATAAATTCGTGGGGCGACATGAATTGAACCGAAACAAGAGAGAGTAAAACCCACGAGTAATGTAGTGTGTAGCACCCTCACCTTTGGTTTTGGGTTTGCCAAGGAGGGCTAGGTAGGCAGAAACAAATAGAGAAGAGAATATCAAGGACTGCGGATTTTTGCCCGTAACCAGTATAAAAGCTTTTTTTCTCTTTTTGCCAATTTCAATAATAGGATTTTGGAAAATAAGGAGTACGAAAAAGGGGATTGAGTGGAGAATCGAATTTCCTTCTTTTTTTAGAAATAAATGCGCACCGATTGCTAAGTTTAACAATTAAATTGCAATTCTTCAAAAGACCTCAATCCCCAGAGTTAAAATTATTTATAAAATATATATCTGAATTGCCTGAACAGAAACTTGATGCAAAAGAGAATATGTAATAAAGTGACACTTACACATACCTGCCGTTGAATTAGTCAACCCCGTGAGGGCTACAAAAACAAAACAAAAAATAGAGTATCCGTCACAAAACACAATCCCAAAAGATGTGGTAAAATCTCTACAAAAAGGGATTATTTCGAAACGTTGCCGCCGGTTTATGTACAAAATTATTTTGTTAATATTTTAGAGGGAGAGATAATATAGAGAGTGAGAGAGAGATAGAGAGGCTACAACAGAGGTCTGTTCCGAAAGAGTGGGCTTAATATTTGTGGTGTGCGTTAACTTTTCATATCATCCCTGCCGTTTGAACGCGGAACAGGAACGAGTAGTGCCTTTTTATATATAAAATTTTTACAAGGCTTTGATCGAAAACAGGTTCAAAAGAGAATATATTATAACGTTGCGCTTTCCATAAACTGGACGTATAAATTATCAACTATACAAAAGGGTTTAAAGAGGGATCAATGAGGGAAAAAGTAAAATTATTGGTATTATGAATAAATGTACTAACTCTGCGTATATAATATTATGAGAGAGGGAAAATAATGAATTTATGTAATATATATTTTCAAAAAGCAGCACCATAAAAGCAGGCATGTAAAAAATAAAATTCGAAAAAACTTCATGCTTTTTATATGATACAAAACTCCAAGCTGGGAGAGAAATCATCTGCTGGGAGGGAAATTAATATATGCGCCTCCGAAGATACATAGAAAAGTCGGATCAAAAATACTAGAAAAACTACACCAACACACTCGTAATCCAGCATTGTAAGAATTCTCTATTATAATTTTTGTTCTCGCAGGTCAACAATAATTTTTCGTGTTTATTTGTACTCGAGCCGAAAGGTCACGAATATGAATGGATCGCTTCTTACAACACTGACCAAGGCTAAAAATATGAGAATAAAATAAGACACGCGCTCCAAGTAGCGGAGCGCGCGCGCAGGGCATTAAAAAAGGTGAATCAGCAAAATGCATGTTTCAGCTAATGTAAATCAACTAATGTATACGCAATAAATGTATAATTACAAAAAATATATAAAGAGAGAGAGCAGTATACAAAAATCTTGGAAAAGTAAATAATTATGTATATATACGAGAGAGCAGAGTATGCAAAATATTACTTCTGTGGAGAATTTATGAGAAACCAACCTGGACTACTTAACCCAGAGGCACTGGATCCTATAATGTGGGAAAACAGCATCGATAAGTAAAACCACAGAATAGATATTTATTTATTGTAAACAACGCAGAGTGGAGGAGAGAAAAGATAAATAATAAATTATGAAAAGTCATCGCGGCATCAAATTTTCGTTCGGAATACAAAGCGTGTCAGCCCTGCTTACTTTTCGTCACAATATATTTTCTAATTGACGCAAGAGTGAATAAAAAAAATAAAACAACAGTCAAACACCGAAAATGTAGATAAGAGAGCCTGCTTTTTACATAGCAAAAATCATTATTCAATTTCCCGCAGTATACCAAAAAGCGGCGGCTCTCTTTTGAGGAAGAACTTTAAGAACTCACCAGTGGGCGAGACGGCCTGCAAATTGGCTCCGTTGCCGCCAGAAATGGCGGCCAGAGTGACCAAATTCTGCATGCTCATCGGGTTCACAGCTGAAGGGGTGGCATAATTAATCAAATGGCATGAAAAGAGAGAGGGTGGCACTCACATTGATTGGCGACAGAGAGGTTCGCCAGAGTGGCGAGTCCCTGAAGATTGGCCGCGCTGATATCACTGGTGGCTCCTGACCCTGCGGAGCCGGACAGGTTGAGGCCTGCCGAGCCCTGGAGGGCAGCCAACGTCTGCAGACCAGCTGGAATGAAAATTGAACCTAATTGAGTCCAGTTGAGATCTAAAATATATAAAGTTTTGAACAATTTAAATAAAATTTTGCATAAGAAAACAATTAACTCTGGTAGTGGGGAAATTTCAATACAACAGAGATTATATATTGATAAAGATAATTTTTTGAAATTGTATAACTAGATGCTAAATGTAGCAAATTTTCAATTATTAATTATCCTTAGACAGAATTATAATATTAAAAATGACTTGGATCCATACGACGTAGCAATTTTTAATGCTAAATATTGATTTTCATGAGTTAGCTAGGCAAAAATTTATAATTATGTTAAACGAATGGTAAATACAATTTCAAATCCTTCAATAGTCTAAATTTAATTTAATTATTATTTGTCAATAATGATATCAAATTACAAATAATATTGATAAACGTGTTAATATTTACAAAGAAATAAAAGAAAATAAATAAAATAAACAGATATAATAAAATAACTTAATTTAATATTTTAATGAACAATTGAACCAATATTAATTTTTTTATTGATTTTTACCTGACCCAGCTGCCTGCAGTTGCTGCATGTTCATAAGCTGCTGCATGCTGGCGAGCAGGTTGGCCGGCGAGTTGGCCGCCCCCGCACTCTGCTGTGTGGGCTGCTGCTGCTGCTGCATCTGCTGGAGCAACTAAAACACACGAACGTCAACCGAAGTCTGTTCCAGGCAGAGGAGCAATTTACGTTCGGATTGGCACTCACAGTCAGGTACTGTGGCGTCAGTGCGCTGATGTTCCAGAGGTTGGCTTGCATCTGCTGCAGTCTCTTTTGGTCCTTCTCCTTCTGCGTGTCCGCAAACTTGACCACCAGGGGTGACGAGCAGCCCTGCGCGGCAAATAAAATTTAATGAAAAGTGACGCCTTGGTTTGGCGAAGAGCTGCTTGTAATTAAAGTAGGAGGAGATGATTAATCGAAATGGAAGCAAATAACTTTTGTAATTATGGGGAAAGAAGTGTCTTGGTTGAGTGTTGAGAATTCTCAAACTTGAAAAGAAAAACGACGCAAAGGAAGTGATGAGGAAAGTTGCAAATCTTCAATAAATTAGTCCAATAAGTTCGTGGATACAGAAAATTACTAAACTCTCTGATAATCTTTTGTTGAAAATGTTTCTAAAAATTATTGAAACTGTTTGTGTTGTCCACCTCCGAATGAATTAAAGTTATAAAGTTGTAGAAAAATGAAGCAAATATGCAAATAAGTTTTAAAAAAATCCGTTCATTACTTGTTGATAGATCGAAGTCTTCAATCTTTAATTTGAAGTTAATATAAATTCAACTTTTTTAGAAAATAATAATAATAATAATAATAAATAATAAAACATAGTGATAAAGTTTAAAACTCTGATAGGAACTAATTTTATAGCAAAAGTTTCTAGACGCATTAAAATATATACTCCAATTTGGATTTGCGCTTTTAATTCTGAATCTCCCTGAAGCCGGTGTCATTTGCAAACAGATCCGGCGCCATAAACAAGCCAAAGGCAAACAGCGGAGAGCAATCCCGCAACATGAGACGCCGCCCCGAGAGTTCATTGCCAAATCATCTGCGGGTGGCTGCTCGCTGATTAAATGAGAGAGGGGCTCTTTCTCCATGGCAGAGAGAATATTATTCTCGGGGCTTCGGGGCTGTTGATTGAGTTTTGCCAGGGCTGCTCTGTCGCTGGATTTAGAACAAATTGGAACACGCAGCGCACCGCCCACTCGCCCTCCACCACCCCTGAAACCCTCTGCACCGCGATAATTATCGAGATTCCCCCCATTAAAAATTTTCACCTCCAAAAAAGTCGCAGTGAGCAAATCCGAACAAAAGTTCTCTCGTTAAATATTCCACGTTTCGGAGATTATTCGGTTGGATGAAAACGACAATTTATCAACGCGAGCAATCACTTGGAAAAAATTTTGGAGTGTAAAAGCAAAGTTGAGAAAGAAACTCACCTCCATGGTTTGGGAATGATGCATCGCCTTGATGGCGTTGATGGCACATTGTTTAGATGTGTAGGTAACAAAGGCACAGCCTGAAACAAACGAGACTTTCAGTTCAGCAGCACTTTTCACAAACAATGAATGCATGCGGGTTGGGAGGATAAAAAGTTGCGGCGCGCGTAAGTGCACGCGGCGCACGGCAACACATACCGCAGGTTTTTTTCTGACTGCCGCGAAACAAACAAAAAAGGTACATGTACTGACGATTATATGCGGCGGGTGATAAAGAGCCATCGTTATAGCACCGAAAGGGTTCAAATACATATGCTTTTGTTCAAGTGCTCCATTTGCATACAAGCTATATACTTAGCCATGTACTTGGCTTGTCAGAGTTAAATTTGGAAAAAATTATTTACCCGGAAGAAATAAATATAGCCTAGAAATCTCCAAACGATTCTCAGTTAAATGGCCCCTTGCATTTATTTAAATGATTTTCGAACTCATCACAGTCAAGTGCAAAAAATTCTTGTTTTAAATAATTTTGCTGAGTTTTCAGCAAAAATTGAAAGCTTTACAAAAAAAATTATATATAAATATATTAATTTTTTAAGTTCAGTCTAGTTAAAATGTTACTATTTTTTATTACATTTGAAAAAGTAGATGTGTTTTTCTAATTTTTCTAATTGAAAGTCTTTTATTTAGAAATTGTGATTTTAGAATGATAAGGTGAGAGAAATTGAATTAAATAATTTTCATAAAGCTGCTTATTTTTCTAACAGCTCCTCAAAAATTTCAGAACATCTGTAATTCTTCTCCACGTGTATCTCATTTACGAGCGTTTTAGTTTTGTGTCACCAGAGGTCAAAAATGCTATTGGAGTTAGTCGCGCAACCAGAAAGATTATCCAGACAGAACAAAACGTGTTCCGGAATATTGTAAATGCAATGAGCGCACAGAGAGAGACAATTCAAGTCAAGTTTTATTAGCCCATAAAGCGGCGGCGAAATTTGAAATTCTGTCTTGCAAACAACGCCGCTGACAATTGTGCATGGGACGATCAAGACGGCAGATATGAGCCCGAGAATCACATTACTCGTTTAAAATTATTCTAATGAGAACGATTAATTTGCATGAAAATTTCCATCCCGCTCGCTTTCCAACACAAAACAATGGAAACGGGGAAAAAAATATTAAAAGGGAGATATTTTACGCTTGGACGAATAAAACCAAAAATTTCCTGCTCCTTTACATAATGTTAAATAATTTATTCCCGAGAATCACGTCCGACTCGAAATCAATGCGCCTCGAGTCGCGTAAAATAAATAAAAAAATCTCTCTCTATCTCCATTCAACTCGGCGGAAAGGAAATCTCCGCATGAGCGAAATACAATATTCCATTTTACAACGCGTCGTGTGTTTTGCCGAGAATTATTCAAATTACGCCTGACGCGAGCGCACATGTTCCCCGAGAGTAAATTTGGGCCGGCGCGACGTGCTTGTGAGAGAGCGAGCAGCTTTTGCACCGCCGAGCCGAGAGGGATCCTCGCGATAAATTGCGCCGCGCCCCATTTTTTTTTTTTTTTTTTTTTGCGCGGCCCACCAGGATAAATTTGTCGTCTCCTGCGAGTTTCACGGACTGATATTTCACGTAAGTCGGCAATAAGAAGCGGCGAGAACAACGCGTACAACGAGATAGTGGAACTGTCTGTTTTCTCGGCAGACGTGGAATTAAATTATTCAGGCCGTAATTCGTGCAGGCTTAGGTGGAGCTTGGCCGGTACCGCCGAAAAAAGGAAAAGCACTGCAGCAGGCAACAAAATTTTATTACACGGCTCAGGAGAAATGCTTGTCTCGTCCTTTGATGTTTTACGCATGGCAAAAATGGAAAGCCAAAATTTTATATTGCGGCTTTTCTGCTTTGTTTTTATTCTTGTGGGCTTGAATTTATCTCTGGAAGGCAGACTTTGAATAGTGGGATGGGATGGATGTGTAAGAATAAAACACAAAATTAATTTTAAAATAAAACAAATAAATTTAAAACTTTACATAATTTCAAGATTTTAAACAATTTCATTTTTGATTAAATATCAGTTGAATTATTTTAATTTTAATTTCAAATTTTGTTAAAATTTGTATTTTCAAAATCTTTACAATAAAAGAGAAGGTACACATAATTTACTGTTTTAAAAGCATAAAAAAAACTTAAAATAAATAATATATTGCAATTCCTCAGAGCTTTGAAAGTAATAATTACAACTGATTTTTTAAATCTGTGGCTCTGAAGGTTCATCTATTTTTGTTAACAAGAGCAATACATTTTTATTAGGAAAGTTGCAATTTATAATAAATTATGAAGAAATTAAAATCATTTCAAAACAAATTCACTTTTATATATTGAATATCATCATTGGAAAGGTATCAAAATTCAAAAAAATTACCAATTCCAAAATTAATAAAAAATTCTAACACAAACATCAATAAAAATATGGTGAACTCCTTTCCTATATATTCGAATTGAAAATCACTTTACTTTGAAAAACCATAAAGTCAGCCTGATAGGCGGCACGCTCCCATTCCAATTTCCTTATAGAGTTTTCCGAGAGACGGACACATTACCATTCTGAGAGCGAATAAGAAACACTGGAAAAAATTCCGTGATTGATTGAAATTACGCCGCGGCAATAAAAAGAAGCAGCTTTAAAGTCTCCGGCGTTTATCGCGAGACGAGAAAGAAATTATGCCGTGCGATAAGAACGGCAAAAAGTAAGAAAACTTATAAATTTATTCGTGCTGCTGGATGGCGTGGCGCACGAGCCGAAAAAGAACCACCGCGCGCTCATCAATACCAATCAATCAGGCTGGCGTGCGCCCCTGCTTTTGCATGGGATACCATCTGCGTGGGGTGCTCCATAAAACCACCACGCAACCCTTCATTCGACGTATACATATTGCATTATAAAATAATACACAGCATTTCCCGGGGCACACACACACGACTTTGTCCCTCTCTTTCCATCGCATCCTCCATCAGCGATAAGTAATTGAGTTTTCCAAGGAAAAGGCAGCGTGTGTGGCGCAATTGATTACTATTTTCGGACAAACACAACAAGTTGGCGTCAGCCAGCTGTTCTCTCGTCGTCATTAAAAAAGACCTCTTCGATTTTCCTTGCGGGGAGCTGCAGATTGGGTTTCGCTCGGCTATAAATATATAGCAATCGACCAGGGAAATTCGGGAATGAAACAAAGAAGAAGTCTGCGTTTCGCCCGCGGCCGCGAAGTTATTGAGATGCCAGAAGCAGTTTTCCTCTTTATTAACTTGGACTTCAAATTGGACTGGATGGGCGGGATGGAAGAAACAAAGTGAAATTGAATTTCTGCTCGGAAAAGTTTTCCCACTGACGCACGGGAATTGGCAGAAATATATTTTATCTGCGTCTGTCCGTTCCACACTCCGAAACAAAGAACAGACACATCTCTGCTGATATTTGTTGAAAACTTGACTTGATTGGAAAGTTGAGAATGTTTCTCCATCATATTTTTACTTTTTTGGCAGATAAAAAAAGAGTAAAATATCAGAGATGCTTAAAATTTAGAGCTAATTTTCGCTTTTACTGGTTTAAAACAATAAATTACTTAAAAATAAATAATTTGAAAGTAATAAATTACGAGCTTATTGAGATATAATGATTTGTAGTAAAACCCCAACAAAAAGTAATTATCAAGAGTGTTTTTTTCCTTGGGAAAGCAGTCAGAGGTCATGTAAACTTTGCATCGAATCGATAAGGGTCTGTTGACGGATTGTCCAGTGAGTGGAAGTCGATGTAAAGGGCTGACAACATTTTGATGTGGCGTCGCTTTTATGCCTGCGTTTTTTTCCCTTCTTTTTGTCGACGAGTGAGTCTTGCCAGCTTCTTTCAAAATGTCTTTTTGCAGCGACAGGGGGTAAAATTCCCGCGACAAAAGGGAGAAAATTTGGTCGTGGCGAAGGTATAGAGAAAAAATTTTGAGAGCCTTTTCTTTCCTCGTCATCTCCTCCCTTTTTTACATGTAACAAAAATTAATTCCACCAGGAGCACTTAATGAGCCGAGAAAATTGAAAGTTAATTAGGAAAAGACGCTGGCTGAAGAGGCTTCGGAATTACCTCCGACAAAAGAAGCACATAATGCTGGGGAAAAATCTACCCTGGGGAGGGAAAGTAACTAAGCTGTTCGTTCGGCACGTTGGAGGAAAGAGAGGCGGAAATGAAGCCCACGTCTTGTATGTACATTTTTTGCTCAAAATTATCTGGTCGACGAGAGGAAATGGCGCCGCGAGGCCAGAAAAATGATGCGCATTTCCAATGCTCGCTTTTTGCTTTTCCAGAGAAATGGATTTTTATATTTACGTGCGTTTTAGTAACTCGCTGCAGTTCCGCCAACATCAGCAAAAATGCCAAAACTGGATACAAATGGGCCAAAAATTGCGCGTGAGTGCGGATTTATGTGCTCGCAAAGTTCACAGAGGAAAATCCCAACGGCACATTTGCTGCCTTTGAGTTATTTATGGAGCGTCTCAAAATAAATTGATAGCTTTCTGGAAAATATGGATCGGTTTTTTTTTTTGTAGACGGAGATAATAATGGGAAGCAACTTGTAACATAAGCCGGTTGGAAAAAAAGGATTCTTTTTGCGATACAGAGAATTATTTTGCGAAAAATACACAGAAGATTGATTTTGTGTTACAAAAATTGCGGTTGAATATAATTATTTGATTTCTTAAACTGGAAATTGAAACCTGATACATTAAACTGTAAAGAGAAAAAAAAATGTTGAAACTTTATGAAACTTTGAAAATTCAAGATATTTAAATAATAATTATTTTCATTCATTCAACAATTTATATTCATAAAATTAAATAAGAAGCGAAATTATATACAATTCATCGTCTTTCTCTCAGTTTCCCTCAATCTTTAAATTTTTACTGCAAATTAAATTTGCAATCAAATATTTTAAATCTTTTAAAGCAACTAATTGTAAGATTATCTTTAGAAAGTTTATCACTCCATACATGCTTTTTAATATTTCTTAGGTTTATTCCAATACAGTATTTTATTTCATAACAAATGTATATTAAGAATTTTCTTATGTAGAAATGTTAAAAAGCTCTTATAAAAAAGGAGGTTATTTTTATCATAAAATTTGCTAAAGCAGAATAACGAAGTTCATTTTCTTTTTCTTTGCCACTTCCCGTAAAGGATCCACGCGACTTTCCACCCTTGACTAATTAAACCGCACCGTCTTTGTGTGTGAATTCAAGCGAGCTGCAAAAGGAGGGAAGTTTTATAATAATAGAGTGGGCTGGAGACAGCCGAGATCAAAAAACGAGCAAGACGCAATTCATCGCGGGAGATCGATATCACCGTCTATGTATATGCCGCCTCGGTCCTTGATAATAGGGCACGTGGACACAAAGAATTATTACATTATTAGAGCCGAGAGTGAGTGGGCATGTGAATGGCAAAAGCGGAATAGATAATAATGCAAATGTCAAGGAGCGCATCTTTTTTGGGAAATGGGGAGCCGGAGAAGAAAATTGTATTATCATTGACGAGAGGAAATGTCAGCAGCGAAAAACGAGACGGCTGCCAGATTGAAAAAGAAGGAAAGAGAGAGAGAAAAAAGAAAGGGCAGACACTCACCTTTACTTTGGCCGTTGGTATCTCTCAGAACGGTGCACTCTTCAATCGTTCCAAACTGTCCAAACATTCCTCTCACATCATTTTCATTGCATTTCTTTGCCAGCATACCAACAAAAAGTTTACGCTCTGAAACAGAAAGAAAAGTGAGATGAATAATTTGCATAATAACAAGAGAGTTGAAAAGGGAGAACGTAAGAAATGGGTCAGAACAAAAGCCTTAGGGAGAAATCTTCATCAAAATTTTACACCCCGGCCGCAGCTCTTCGGATTAACTAAATATTTCCTCTTTTCGCTCATTTTTTTTTTACTCTCCTCGGGGAGTAAAAATTATGGTGCGCCGCTTAAATTGTGCATTCTAATGCGTTCGGAGAAGAAAGAGGGCAACCAAAAGAGATTATCATCGCCGCCATTTATTTCCCATGTATGTATTATAATAATGGATGTTTTATTCACCACCATTGGGCCATCATCAATATTTAAGCAGAAAGAAAGAGAGCGAGCCAAAGTCACCGCGAGGTCAAATTACCCTCCGGCGGCGGCGGCGACGGCACATCCAGCACCAGGATTATATTCTCTGCTTTACTCGCCGGCTACATATACAAATATTGTTCTCGGATAGAGCGGCAAGCGGCGCGGATAAATTTAAATATCGACCGGCGGCGGCACATGCATTATTTAATGACCGCGCCGAGATTATTTCAGCATCTCGAGTGTATAATGACACACTCAGCGCCGTTCCGGGGAAGTGAGGCAGACGGTTAGTTGTCACTTTTGCTGGTGGCAATTTATGCAAGCTTCCAGTTTGACGATATAAGTTTTTCTATTAGATTAGAGGGTTGTTTATTGATCCCGAATTTATGTTTGAGATTTTTTTATAATTCTGTATTAATATTAAAACGATTATTGAATTTTAAATAGCTTTGTATTTCTAGCTCGGTTTAAATACTTTAATTTAAATTAAATAATCTAGCGTAAATAAAGTTTTGATTATGATTCATATTCTACTCTTCGCTCCTTGAGGTATCTAAAATGATAATTCATGTTGATCACTCTTTGTCAGGAGAGGAAAATTGAAAATTACACTCCAGAATAATTGATGCTTACTTCTAAAAATATGGGAAAAAGGCAATTTTCTTAACCATATTATAAGCAAACAAAATATTAAATTTAAATCATATTATGTACCGGTGAACATAGTGCTTTAGTTCAAATTGTTGGTTTTCTTTTAAAAATAATTGAATAATAATTGTATAATAGAAAATAAATAATAAATAAAAAACTAAATTAACAGACATGAGAATAAAACCGAGCAAAATTAATATTTTATTTAAAAATTTGTATTATTTATATGTTATTTTTTGTTATTTTGACATATTAAAAGAAAAAAATTAATGTAATATAACAGCAAAATACTAATCTTCAAATAAAATTATTTCAACCTGTCATTTGATAACGTCCATCTAGACGTTTTTCCTTCCTACATCCGCAAGTATAAAAGAAAGCTATGATGGCGGAAACGCTTTACAAAGACATGATCGTCTTTTGTTGTACTGCCCCTTTGCCAAAACGCAGCTAGACGTATCACACACATACGCGTTGGTTGTTCGTCTCTCCAACATGGCGCTATCTTTTTAATGCTCCGCCGTCGGAGCGTGCGAATAAAAGAGCAAAGAAAGGGTGGTTGGAAAGCACTACTCTCTCGCCGAGAGGGTGCGAGTGCGGTTATGTATCATGCACTATACTTTCTTTGGTTCGGAATAGAAGGAAATTGGAGAGCAGCGCGGAGCGAGCGAGCGTCATTAGCCCCGTCGCCAGCCGGTAATGGAGTTGCCCGCGGTGATAAGCACTGATAAGAAGAGGAACCCCGAGGCGCCCCAATCGACTCCCGTCGCCTGCATCTCTATGTCTAAAAAAAAAAAAAAACAGTCACTGCTTGCGACACAGCTCTCGCTTTAGTGGCCACCACATGCTGGGCTGCTGCTTTTTCGGCAAAAAAGTTTACTGCACCTCTAAACCGCAAAGCGCCGCCGGGGATTGGTTTTTGTGCCAGTGCAGCAATTAAAGAGTCGTTTGCCAGCTCGGGTCGCCTTCGGGCGAGATTAAAATTTATCGATTTCGGGTGAAACGAGGCAGAGATTGGAAATGTGTTTGGGGCGGTTTGATTAAATTTTGATGAGGGGCGCCGGTGACTGTGAAATTGCTCAATAAGGAAAGTCTAATCAATTTTCAAATTTGATAACTTTGCCCTTTTATATAAAACAAACTTTAGATCGCTTTTGAATATTCAAACAAGCCAGCCTCACTTCGATCGCATATAGATGAGCTGGAATAGAAAATGCTTTTCTCTCTGTCATTCGCTCAGGTACGTATTTTCCACAAGCGGAGAAGGAGCATCTGTAATGCTCTCTCTTTTGTTCCGCCGTCGTTACCACACCACTCTGTACTATTGCATAATGACACACGAACACTTAATCGATTTAGGCAACGTGCACAGCACAGAAGTCAAGACGGCTGCCTCTTCCCAGAGAGAGTTCTCCTCGCTTTCACAATCGATTTTCGGAGAGACGCTAAATGCGAAGAATGTGGGAAGAGCGAAGAACGGCGAGAGTGGAGGAATTTGAATTTGCACGCTCGATTTAACATTCAGGCGCAAAAATTCCTTCCGTCGTCGTGCTCCGGGAAAGAAAGAACGACGTGTTAATTGAAAAACAGCCTAGGGGGGAAGCAAGATTTTGAACTTGCTGGAATTCGGAATATTAAAAAAAATGGGAAAAATATCTGCAACTATTCTTAATTCTTAGGTATTTATTTGTTGATAATTTAAAATTTAGAAACTGAATAAATTTATTAAATTTCTGCCAGTTTTGAAATCAATTTATTTAAGTAGGCAAAAAGGTAATTTGATTGAGTGGAGGAAGAAATGCCGATGCAGCGTTACAGAAACTAGTTTATCATGAACTGTCAGCCATTTCTTTTGTGATCAACATGGAAACAAAACAACTCGGGGAAATGAAGAAGCAAAGCTCTCCGGGGAAACAACAATCATCAAAATAGTACAACCCGGCTTTTGTTTGCCTCCGGCGGGCACTAAACGCAGCCGTTGATAATAATTTAGCAAATGGAAATTTCACTCTGGCCAAAGTACGTCCGACTCCACTCATGAATTTTTGAGCCCGTCGGACGGGTGATCTACCTTGCAGGCGGCCATGCGCGCAACTCGGTAAAGAATCCCGTGTGTTTTGCAAGAGAAAGAGCGAAGATAGATTGTCTGGCCGCGGAACTGCTTGCGGTGAATCGTAAAATAAGTTTCGCGCATCAAAATTTCAGCGCTCGGCCGGCACGAATTATTTCACCCAGTAGAATTGCGCACTCTGAAGTGCGCTATGCTGAAATAATAATCGTCAGCGTGCACGAGAAGTGGCGGCGGCGCAAACTTCTCGACACTTTGGTGCGATTAAATTATTTATGCATGTGTTCATCGTCGGATTGCTCGTGTTTTGTATTATTTCTGCAATTGTATGTATAAAGACAAGCGCAACTTAATTAGCAATGCCACTAGCAAACTTTTGTGCAAGTTGCGAAAGCTAATTCAATTTTCCTTAAATTGTTCATCTCTCGACCCAGTGGGTGTCGGAAAGGGGCGAAAAGATTAACATGCTAACAAGGCGCTGTCTTATTAGCATCCTCTTTCGCAAGCACGTGGCAGCTTTTGTGAAATTTCAGCTTCGAGGGCAGATGGCAATGCGGAATTTAATGACTATATAACTTTGGGAAGAAGGAATTTGCTCTCCTTTGGAGTAGAGTCAAAGGATGCAGCGAGACTCCGCGCATAATTTGCAATTTTGGAATAATGCGTTTAGCTGCAGCATAATTCCAACAACAAACAACCCCCTTTCCAAAAATAAGATCCCTTAATTAAGATACCCTGCCGGCATCCTCATCTAAAACTTGAATAAATTGCGAGAGATCTTGCTGCTCTCCTAATTTCGCTAGGTTTTATCTAAAATCAACATTTAGGATGACTTCAAAAAAATTTAATCCTCGCTGTCATGATCAGACTGTGAAAAATCTCTTTTTACGAGCAGAATTCTCAGGCTCAAATTTTGAACGAAACAGTCCCTACGTAAAATAATCTTGTAAGTAATTTCAAACTTCATAAATTGAAATACAACTAACTATAGTTATTTAAAATTTATTTCATGAATTTAACTGATTTTAAGGACTCCTTATTGATTTGTTGTAAAATCAAGTCTTTACAACAATGGTGAATTCTACTTCCCGCTACTTCCAATCGTTTTCCAATAATGCCAAAATATCTCACTATTGTTGTAAAGACTTGATTAAACTATGTCAATAAAAAGTCATTGAAACAAGGAAAATTTCTTGGGCGGATATAAATTTTTTCGTGTTGCAGTAAATTTGAGAAAAATTTTCATCGTGATAGAAAAAATGCATCTGAACAAAATCATACCGAGGGGAGATCGGAGGCGAAATTTCCCGGAACTGGAAAAGACACGCGCCCATGCGGGTAAAATAACGACCCAGAGACGTTTCCATTCTCGGAAGCAATGCGAACTAGGGGAAAAGAAAGGGCAGAAAGAGGCGTCATTCGCGGAATGAAGGTAGGCCTGAAAATAATAAAGTGTCACATGCAGCGCAGTAATCAGAATTGAGCGGTCTAGCTTTAAGTTTAACCTCGGCCGGGCCAAGAGCATTGTTTTCATTTGCCAGCTCGGCTCTAAATTTCAGCTAACGCACGAAAGAATTGCACGCGGCATCATGCCAGCAGCTAGAGAGGGAGTGTCGACCGCAAGCTGGAAGGGCGGGTCGGTCGGTTAGTTAGTTAGCGAGAGGATCCAAAGTTTGAGAGCCAAAGTCAGGACGTGAGCGGACTGCAAATCTGCCGCTTTATTTGCGCTCGTCAGGTGCATTTTAAAACATATTTTTATGGAGTGGTTGGCGCGCCAAATAACCGAGGCCAATAGACCAAAAAAATACACACAAGATTGGAGCCGCGAGAAAATTAGGTCTGCGTAGTATGTGTTTGTTTCTTTTTTTTATCGCGCGCTCTTTCTCTTCTAGCACCCAGGTGACAAAAGGCAAACGTGTTGCTCGAGAGCGTAAAA